CCGGGGTCGGGGGTGCCGACCCTCGACCCCCGGGACCCCCGCCGGGGCCCCGGGCCCGGGGGTCGACAACCCTGGTTACAGGTCCTCTTGAACGTCTGATTCGAAGTCATGACTACATTCAGCTAGATCTTATAAGGATCATCTTCTGGTTGTCGATTCGTCGGTTTACGACTCAACTCCAATTCATCCTCAATATCAACCTAAAAGGCTTTAACCCTAGTGATTTTTCTTGTTTTATTAAGGTTTTCACCCGGAATTTTATTGAATGACCATTTAAAAACGGTACTGAGTATTTAATTATGGAAGGTTGGACAAAGGTTAGGGCTTCCATGGCTAAAGCGAAGGGTATGAGTACAGAGATTGGTTGAAGTTGACTCCATGTAGTGCGTTGATTTTTTTGTTGACTCTTTGATGTGATTGCAGGTATGTTCTATGGTTCAGATTTTGGATTTGACTGTCTGCGATCACACACATATATATGGCTATGAGGAGTCCCACTGTGATTGTGAAAAGTGATCGTCACATACTTATTTCCCTTTTACATATATATATGTATGTACCTATATTGGGTGTTCGCGTGGCCTGAGGGGCCCACACTTAAGGATTTAGTTGGGGATGAGATTGAGCAAGGAAAGAAAACCCCGCTTTTATTGTTAAATGCTCTTTAAAGATTTCTTAGTTGGACGTTGGTCCTGGGCCTGGATTTAAGAACCTTGTCCAGGACAACCGAGGTCCTAGACTCTGCATGGAAGGGATCACTCCCCGCGCAAAGCCTATTTGCCCTGCCTGCCGAGACACTCAGCCTAAGGCTCGGAGGTGTCGAGGAGGCCGCACAACTATTCCTTCAGCCGTGCAATATCGTGAAGGGGTACACCCTCACGATACTTCGAGTTTGACACTTGAGTGTCATAAACGGTACCCGGATCCACGAAGGACCGCTTGATTATAGGCACTACATAGTACGTCATCATTGCGACTGCTTGCGTATTCATGCATTGCTAGTCGATATGAGTTAGCCCTGCATCCGCGCGGTTTTATACTAAAGTCTCGCGCGCAACGCCTATCCGATTTCCGCGTCGGAGAGTTGTGGGATGACTACTAAGGGATTAGGAGTGTTATCGCGTTGTTTGTTCTGTGTCGTTTCGTGTATATGTATGTGTGTGTATTTTCGTTATTATGTTCTTTAGAGTGGCGTGCGCGTGGTGTGTGGGATGCGTCCTAGTCGACCGGTGACGAGTCTCGCTTGGGACCTCAGCCCCCCAAAATGTCGATTCGCATGCGGGTCCGATAAAGGCGTAAAACCTCGTGCACCCCCTATGCTATAGCATACGAGAAACGCCCTCGGCTAGTCCACCTCTGCGATTGCAACTGATTAGCTTTCGTATTATGGATTGGTAGCTCGACGGGGATACGCCCACCGGAGGGAGGTGACAACTCCTGCAAGGTGGAGGTAAGTCGTGCCTCGCATAGGCCCTATCCTGTCGTAGGGGTCACGAGAGGTACGGCTGGCGCATTCGACCGGAGCGGCTTGCTAAGACTCCATGTATATTCGCAACAAGGATTAAGACAAACTCCTGCGTGACGCGGTCAGGAGGGTCCTGTCCCGTTTTCTGAGGTGCCGGACCGATGCGGTCGACAATTCGATATGCTATTTGTGGTCTTCCTCAACCCCAGACTCATTCTCACCCCCTATTTTCCTGTCTATATCAAACAATCGAGCACGACACGAGGCATACCTCACCCATATCAACGTCAATCTCGAGGTTGTACCCGATGACATAAACCTCATTACATCCTTTGTCGCCACCTTGATAATTATAGCATCTCCCATAGTGACCGTTTTTGCTATATCCGACCCTCCAGAGTCCAACGCACTTATGCCCTCCCCCTCCACAGCGGAGTAGTTACCATTCTTGATCAGTTTTGTTCCTCCTTGTGACCAAATGTTTATTGTAAAGCACATCAACCCAACTGTGCGACAAGGGATTTACTAAGGCCTTCTGACCGCATTATATAGGATATCAAAATCATTGTCTTACGAGGGATGAGTGCCCCACCTCTCATAACTCCCTACGACAGGGCAAAGTTTTTGTGAGGCAAAACTTACCTTCACCTAGTAAGTTATCACCAAAGGAAATCCAATTAAAGACATGTTGCCTATTAGCATCATAGCATAAGTAAATGGGAACAAAGAAGTTAATTTTCTTATTTTGCTCATATCTTATTCACAATTATAGACACGTGATTGTCAAGCCACCACTCAAAGTATGGTGACTTTCTAAATGTCGTGCAATAAGTGAACCACCGTTGGGAGTTGCTCGATTGTTGTAGCATACGAGTAATGAGCAATAACTTAATTAGCCCAAATTGCCTCCCCCGTCACAAACCGTGACCTATGGGCGAATTCCTAAATTGTGTTTCGCCTACTTAACTTATTTTTAAAGCTTCAACTTTTCACCAATTAAAACCTTTTGTTCAACTTATTTATGGATAAACTATGCTGGAGTCACAAAAATGAGTTATAATTGCAGTATGGGTCAATACACTGTTTCGAACTGCAGTTCGGGGATTGTACACAACCCAACTTTTGTGCCAGGTATTGTTCCCGAGGTGTAACTGCAACTACTTATTTGCGCCATAGTATAATTATATTTTTACTCTACTGAAGCTTTCCCCATTTTATTTTACTATTATTTTGGTTTGTCCGTTCAACATGTATGATCGCTTGAAGAACTGACGAAGTTATATCAGTGATAGATTTAAAAACTAAGAGAATTATATTCATAATAGTTTTGAGAGATAAGAAAATCGTAAATATTATAGCTTAAGGAACTAAGAGAATAGTTTGCCTAATGATTTAAGAAACTAAACTTGTTCATAAAAAATGTAAGGGGTATAAATCACAACCATCGAGCTATTGTTTTTTATGACAACATACTCATGCGAGAACGACTCTTAGCTTCTCCTATTGTTTTTTCTTTATGCAACACTCTCATCATTATCGTATTAAGTTCAAAGTGAAAATGCTTTTGAACACATTTAAAATGTCACTGCACAGTTTTGAAAATATTATGTCAATCTAATAAACATATTGCACAACCTTCTCTCTTTCTATGCGTTAGTTTTCCTCACAAAATTCTCTTAAATTTATTTTCATCACAGCTACTCCACATACAAATGAGAAAATACTCACCACCAGAATCCACTTAGATGAATATTGTTTACAATTTATAATAACATGACAACAATTTCTTCACCTAGCTCAGTGTATCCACAATCAAAACAAAGATTTTGTTTTAAAAGTTTATGAATTTTTAAATGTTTATGCATGTCTTCATTTATTATCCTTGTTTTTAAATTTTTCTTGTTGCTATATTTAGTTAGAATTTTTTATTTACACGCCTTGCCACGTTGATTGTGGATTAGTACAAGCTACTCATATCCCTATGCACGTGTATGTGTGTATACTATATCATAAATCTTCACCAAGAAACCTCAAATAAATAAACATAAATTTAATACAAACTATTTGACATTCTTTTTTTTTTTTCTTCTGAATGACAACTATCACCATATTAACGTTTCCCCCCCTAATAAACCGGTATAAAATTTAACTAAATGGTTTAACTTTAAAACTTTCGACAACGAGCTTCATGAATCATACATAAAGTATGATATTGTCGTAGCATAAAACAATTTTGTAAATGCTTATTAAATTGTTTTTTACTCGTACTCGTGCATTACCTATGCAACTATTCTTTTGTTTTTTTTTTTAATGTATTTTCTTGTTGCTCTTGATATGTGTGAGTGTGTGTATGTATGTGTGTTGTAAATTGTTCAACATCCACCTTCTTTTCACCTATGTACGAAGATCCAAAATTAAAACAGTTTAGGCAAACAAGACCAAGCATATTGGAATAAGTATACAATATTTTTTTTTTACAGTATTTCCTTTACTTTCCTTCATTTCTTGTTCGGTGGGGGACTCCTTTCATTTTTTCTTCCAACTATTCTTTTAACACATCTCTCACCTACAATGTTTGCCACATGGATTGTGGTCGAGTGCAAGCTGCCCATATCCCCGTACGACAAATTGTTTCAGCTAAAGAGAACGATGTAATGACCAATCTGACCATGAATGTTTCGATGGTAAGGACGATAAGGATGAGCAAAAAGATTAGGAAGTAAGGAAAACATTTAATGGGGAGGATGTTGTAGCAGAAGATATAAGTGAAGAATCTCATGGTGGTGTCGGTAGTGGCGGACGCTCTCTTTCAAGAACCGTTGCATTGGTAGGATAGTAACTAATATTCCCTACAACCACTTCAGTATCCACATCAACAAAATACTATTTCGGTAAAAATAAGAGGGGAGAGAGCGATAATGCTCCCTGTACTTAGAATTAACATTTAGGATTAGGGTGGGGTACACTGCGTGTGACTGTATGGAGGGCTAATATTGCTTACACTTAAAATTGATATTCGAAAATAGGTGAGACACTGTACACTTTCGACGAAACCGATTTTGAAAAGGGTGACATGAGTGGGCTGCCCATATTACTAGCCATGCACATAGGCACTCCAACCTCTACCTAATACATACTAATGAGCATACATTGTGTTAAGGAAGTCGTTGTAACTTTGAAGTATATCATTTTGTTTCATATACTTATAAACCTCGTCAATTGTCACGTTAGCAAACTTCAAGGCAAATGATGAGATAGAGCATTTGAGGAAGCATTGGGATAATGGATAACAAAGAATGTAAAAACCTCAACCTTATCAAACACATTAATATGCAATGCGAGATGTAGAAAAAACAAGATCTTAGCTTCGCGGAAGAGACAGGCCAATTTGACACGCTGTTGTATTTCCACTCAATACCATATTGAGTAGGAGAGGACGGAGATTTCTTTCAAGATAGGATGTATTAATAAGCTGATATACGAATTCATATGCTCGAGTTGCACAAAAATCTAGCTAGCAAAGTTTATCAATGAACTGTTTTTCAACCTAATAAGCATGAGATAGACAATTTTGATACAATAGTAATACATAGCGATACTTACCTCCTAATGGCGCGATGCCATCTGCTATATAAAATAAGTGTTAGAAACACAATCGGCAAATATTGTTTTATATTTAACACTCGGAAAGCTTCAAAGCCATGTATAACAACCCACTTTCCACGATGTGGACTTCCCACTGTCATGTACATATATACTAGTCTCTTAGTTTGTGGAATCAACACCAAGCATAACAATATGCTTTACGAACAACATTCAGCACATTGTTAACAATCATGTCTTATGGCAAGTTAGAGTACACCGTTGTATAGTACTATGTTACCAGTTGTCTGATGGTAGGACGTCCAGGCTGGACATCCTGGCCCGACAGTCAAGGATATCCTGAACGTTCGGGCCCGGACAAGGTTCTTTTCAATAATTTAAAGCACGAGAAAAAAAGAGTGTAGGAGTAACTTTAGTTTAATTTTTTATTTTAAATTTCATAAAGAATTTTGTTGTAATCCCAAGACAAAAGCTGTTCAGTTTCTATTTCTGCGTAACATAATTTTGTGTCGGATTTTTTTGACATTTGTTTTTTTTATGAAAATGTTCGAGCTCAGATAAACTGCCCCAAGAGGATGTTTACCATGGGAGGATGTCCGACAGGACAACCCTGGACGGTTAGGGGGGTCTGCACGTCCGACCCGGTAACCTAGGTATAATCCACAGTGTACGACATGAAATCTTGAAGCGTGTCTTCTGCATGACATCCAAAATGACCATTGCAACACTTTGCTTAATCTAACCTCGTTATATGCCGATTTTGTTATAAAGTTTTTTATCCTAATTATAGAGTAACCGGATCACACCTTAAAAGCATAGCTAAGCAAGCGAGAGGCCACTGTTTTGTTTGCAAAAGTTTTATTAGGAGACCTATTATGCAGATCCAAAATGAAGGGCGAGGGGTCAATGAGGGTGAAATATAGACAAGGCAGCATGTCAATATGTAAAAACCACAACGTTAATTAAAAAATGCATGGTCATTGAGGATGCTGGTGACAAACTCTGATCTAAGACTACAGATTGACCTATCAATATGTTGTGAGAACTTTCTATGCATACATGCGTTTATAACAGATTACCAAGTTGTGTGAGGTTTTATGGATTGATACTATAATGAAATGTTATCGTGGGTGTTGAAAATATATCTTAGGAGCTCGTGAGTCAGCTGTTGAAACCACGACCTTTCACACGAGATTACTTCATGATTGAACAATTCAACATTGATAGAGCTTCACGGT